ACTGATGAAGACATGCTAGAGAAAACCTTCTCTACTTTTCATGCCACTAACATGCTCCTACAACAGCAATATCGTGAGAAAGGTTTTAAAAATATTGTGAATTAATCTCATGTCTTCTTGTGGCTGAACAAAATAATGAGCTCTTAATGAAAAATCACCAATCACATCCGACCGGTTCTAGTTTATTCCCTGAAGTGAATGCAACATCATCTAATTATAACGGTCGTGGGTCTAACCGTGGCCGCGGCCGTGGTCATGGTCGAGGTCGTGGACGTGGTGGAGACCGTCATAATAATCGTCCCAACAATAATAATAATATAAGTAACCACCAGAAGTGGGAAAATAACAAAAACTTACATCCTAATGGTAAAAGTGGTCAAGGCAAAAAGAAAGTTGAAAATGTTTGTCACTGATGTGGAATGACCGATCATTGGTCGCGTACATGTCGCACTCCAAAGCATTTTGTTGATCTTTATCAAGCTTCTCTAAAATATAAAGAAGGAAAATATGCGGAAACAAATTTTGTTCAAAATTATTTTTCCGAAGATCAACTAGAAATGGGACATTTGGATGTCGCCGATTATCTTGCCTACACGGAAGGGACAAACGGTGCTATGGATGGTGATGGAAGTACCCAATTTTTCCCTTAAAAGGAGATGGATATGCCATATCATGAAATTGTTGGTTTTCTAGTATCATTTTATTTTTGCATTATGTTTGTTTAAAGTCATTGACATGGTCAAGAATAATATGTAGTTTTGTTTAATGTCGTTTATGATTTTTATGTTATAGTCGTTTCATGAGAAGAGATCTCAATGATGCTTCTCAAAATAATAATATATGACTTTATTTATCTAAGTTGAATATTTCTTATTTCTTATTATTTTATTATATATTTTTATTTTGATGAGAAATATGGATATTTCCAAAAAAAATGAGGAAGATATATGTCTTGCAGACAGTGCAACAACACATAGCATTTTTAATAATGAAAAATATTTTGCTTACTTATCAATTGGAGAAGCAAATGTTGATACAATAACGGGTAGTGCAAAAATGATTGAAGGCTCCGGAAGAGCGAATATCATATTACCACAAGGGACAATAATTACAATTGGAGATGCATTATTTTCATCAAAATCACCAAGAAATTTATTAAGTTTTAAGGATATTCGATCCAACGGATATCATGTTGAAACAACCAATGATGGTGATAAAGAGTATCTCAATATTACAAAAATGATATCTGGTAAGAAAACTCTTTTGGAAAAATTACCCGTATTGTCCTCCGGATTATATTATACAAATATTAGAATGATCGAATCTCATGCTATTGAAAATAAAAGGTATGATAACATCTACAAAGTTTGGCATGACCGGTTGGGCCATCCCGGATCAGTTATGATGCGCAAAATAATTGAAAGTTCAAGTGGACATTCCTTGAAAAACCAGAAGATTTTTCAAGCTAATGAATTGTCTTGTGTTGCATGTTCTCAAGGAAAATTAATATCTCGTCCATCATTGAATAAAGTTGGGTATGAAATTCCTAGTTTTTTAGAAAGAATTCAAGGGGATATATGTGGACCAATTCATCCATCATGTGGACCATTTAGATATTTTATGGTCTTAATTGACACATCAACTAGATGGTCACACGTGTGCTTGTTATCTAGCCGTAATCTCGCTTTCGCAAGATTACTAGCACAAATAATCTGCCTAAGGGCACATTTTCCCGATTACCCAATTAAGAAAATTCGACTTGACAATGCTGGAGAATTTACATCACAAACTTTTAATGACTATTGCACGTCGATTGGGATAACTATTGAATATCCTGTTGCATATGTTCATACACAAAATGGTTTAGCTGAGTCGTTAATCAAACGCCTTCAATTAATTTCAAGACCATTACTAATGCATTCTAAACTTCCTACATCGACATGGGGACATGCAATTTTACATGCGGCATCACTTATACGCATCAGGCCAACTAGTTATCATAAGTTCTCCCCTATTCAACTGGTTTGCGGCCATGTACCAAATATTTCCCATCTAAGGACGTTCGGATGTGCAATTTATGTACCCATTTCTCCACCTCACCGCACAAAAATGGGTCCTCAAAGAAGAATGGGAATTTATGTTGGATACGAATCTCCATCTATATTAAAATATTTAGAACCATCAACTGGAGATTTATTTACAACTAGATTTGACGATTGTCATTTTGATGAATCAGTTTTTCCAACATTATGGGGAGAAATAAAGAAGCTGGAGAATAAAATATCTTGGAATGAATTATCACTTTCAGTTTTAGATCCTCGTTCAAGTCAATGTGAACTTGAAGTGAAAAAGATAATTCATTTACAAAATATAGCAAATCAATTGCTAGATGCATTTACTGACCCTAAGAGAGTAACAAAGTCTCATTTACCAGCTGTAAATGCTCCAGTTAGAATTGATATCCTAGAAGGAAAAAATACAACTACAAATGAATCAAAGACACACCTGAAGCATGGAAGACCAACCGGTTCCAAAGATAAAAATCCTCGAAAACGAAAGGGAGCAAATATAATTGATGGTCCAAAAGAGAAAACATAATCTTTTGAAAAGATTAATGAAGCTCCATAAGAGCCCAATGACATAACAAAAGAAACTGAGGTACCGGAAAATTATGAAAATGAAGAGATCTCAATAAATTATGTCGTGACAGGAATAAGATGGAACCGAAATAAGATAGACGTCAACGATAATTTTTCATATCATGTTGCGTGCGAGATTATGGAAGAAAATGAGGATGTTGAACCTAAATCTATAGATGAATGTAGAAATAGAAAAGATTGGCCAAAATGGAAAGATGCAATAAACAAAGAGTTTAATTCTCTTACTCAACGAAAAGTTTTTAAACCTGTAGTCCGTACACCAAACGGAGTAAGACCAGTGGGACACAAATTGGTATTTGTGCGCAAAAGAAACGAGAAGAATGAAGTTGTGAGATATAAAGCAAGACTTGTTGCACAAGGTTTTACCTAAAGGCCCAGAATTGATTATGAAGAAACATACTCTCTTGTGGTTGATGCAATTACATTCCATTATCTAATAAGTCTGGCAACACATGAAAAATTGGAGATGCGTCTGATGGATGTAGTTACCGCCTATTTATATGGTTCACTTGAGAATGATATTTATATGAAAATCCCAGAAGGGTTTAAGGTGCCATAAGCACAAACTCCTAATTCTCGTGAAGTATATTCAGTAAAATTAAATAAATCTTTGTATGGATTGAAACAATCTGGTCGTATGTGGTTCAATTGTTTAAGTACATTTCTTTTAAAATAGGGCTATAAAAATGATCCATTAAGCCCATGTGTATTCATAAAAAGATCCGGATCAGAATTTGTGATAATTGTTGTTTACGTAGATGATTTGAACATAATTTGAACTCTTGGAGAATTGGAAAATGCCACTTCTTGTTTGATAGAAAAATTTGAAATGAAAGATCTTGGTAAAACGAAATTTTGTTTGGGTCTTCACATTGAGCACACCAAAAATGGAGTTTTTGTACATCAATCTAGTTTATCTAGAAAAGGTGCTTAAAAAGTTTTATATGGATAACTCACATCCATTGAGTACCCTGATGGTAGTAAGGCATTTAGATGCCAAAAAGGACCAGTTTGGGCCTTGTGAAAAACATGAAAAACTTCTTGGTCCCGAAGTATCATATCTTAGTGCTATTGGTGCACTAATGTATCTTGCTAATAATACGAGACCTGATATATCTTTTGCTGTAAACTTATTAGCAAGATATAGTTCTTGCCCAACAAGAAGACATTGGAATGGAGTCAAACACATTCTTCGATATCTTTGAGGTACAATGGATATGGGCTTATATTATTCAAATTCATCAAATGCGGAGTTAATTGGTTATGCAGATGCTGGATATTTGTCTGATCCACACAAAGCTCGATCCTAAATAGGTTATTTATTCACTTGTGGAGGTACCGCAATCTCTTGACATACTGTTAAACAAACTTTAGTTGCTTCTTCCTCTAACCATGCAGAGATTATAGCAATTCATGAAGCAAGCCGTGAATATATTTGGTTAAGAAATTTAACTCATCATATTCGTGAGAGTTGTGGTCTAACATCTAACAGGGACGCTCCAACCATACTATATGAAGATAATGCGGCTTGTATAGCCCAATTCAAGGAAGGGTTTATCAAAGGAGACAGAACCAAACATATATCACCAAAGTATTTTTTACTCATGATCTTCAAAAAGAGCGTGGCATCAACATCCAGAAAATTCAATCAAGTAACAACTTAGCAGATTTGTTCAATAAAGCGCTCCCTACATCCAAATTTGAAAACATGGTACGAAATATTGGAATGCGACGCTTTAAGGAAATCAAGTGATGTGATGATCAGGGGGAGTTGGAAACATATTGTACTCTTTTCCTTAGCTATGTTTTTCCCACTGGGTTTTCTTAGCAAGGTTTTTAACGAGGCAATTGTTCCAAATATCTATTATTAATCATGTATTTTTTTCCTCAATAAATGGTTTTTCCCATGAGGTTTTACCTATTAAGGTTTTAACGAGGCATGATACAATCGTCATTCAAGGGGGAGTATTATGAGATATTAGTTTGTGAATGACCATTGGATTCTCCATTTCTCCCATAACTCTACATCATTATTTACCATTTCAATATGTTTTATGAATGTAATAATACAACATCATAATGTGCATTCATATTATAGCTCATCTTTCATCTTATTTGGATAAAACAAATAGTGAGTCATATGTATTATAAACTTGATGATTTCATCACAAGTATTGGAATAAAAGTTATCTCTACTCTTATTTTTTCTTTACTTTATAATTTATATTGTTAGTTGATCATATTTTATAACATATAAAAATTAATTAATTATAACTACCTAATATTAATGGAAAAAGAAAAGGAAAAATAAAATAAATCAATAAGTCTAAAACACGAGGCATGAAAAGTAAAGCAAAGAAAAGAAAAAACGATTGAGAGTGAGAGGGGGGAGAGCTCCGAAGGTCATCGTCATCGGCCGATTGTGATCGTCTCTGCCACCTCCGTCCAATCGAAATTAAGGCCTCCCAAGGTTTCTCAATCCAATAGAAAGGTACTCCTGACTCCTGAATTCCTCATTTCCTTTTCCCGCGCATTTGAATTTCCCCAATAATATGTACTAGGGTTTGCTTGATCACGTTTTCAATTTGGGTAGTTTTATGATATGAATATCATTTCAATTTTCAAACTACTCTAATTCGAACTTGTACGTTAAACACCATACTTGTAAAAACTAAAAAGAATACCCGATTTGGCATAACCTAGAGAATGCAACGCAACCCTCTAGGGTTTCTAACCACGGCATGTCAACTGCTTAGATTAACTGTCTCTTGTTTTATCTGTTAAAATCATAAACTTTTCGGCAGTTTATAATGTTTAGATTGATTGTTTGTTAGGGTTTATTTTACAAGTAACCTCTCTTTGATTCTTGTATTTCTTTTGTTCTTGTTTAGAGAAGTGATGGCATTGGCAGGTAGAGAGCATGTTGAGTTTTCATCTTTAAACTCTGAATCAAGCAGTCAAACAGAATCAAATTCAAATCAAGACATGAATCATATCAATTCTCCTTCTATAGATACTGATATATTACAAGAACAAGAACAAGAACAACTTGGTGAGGTCACTAATTCATGCATTCATGAATCAAAAAATAAAGACCCCAAAAAGGAATTGGATGTACTTTGGCGTAGAGTAAAGACAACAGCCTCATTATTGAACTACTTGAAATCAAAAGCAAAAACAACAATGACAAATCCCCATTTCGCCCTCACCTCCTCCCAATCCCATGACATCACAAACATAGATTCTTCCAATTTCAACTCCCCATGGATAGACATAAATACCCTTCAAGAAGAAGAAGAAGAAGATGGGGTTTACATGAATGAAGTGGCAAAGACTGTGGAAATGATCACACAGGTGATGGAGTCTCTTGTTGAAAGGGTAATAATGGCAGAATCAGAAACTGATATTGAGAAACAGAAGGTGGCAATAAGTCAAGAAGAGATTATGAAAAAGGAAATCCAGGTTGAGATAATGTCTGAGAAATTAGATGAAATGGATCGATTTGCAGTGGATACAAACTGTGTTCTGAATGAAATGAGACAGTGGGTTGACAATTTGGTTGAAGAAACATCAAGACAAAAGCAAAGGGCAACACAAAATGAACAAGAACTTATTCGTGTCAAACAGGATTTTGAATCTTTGAAATCTTATGTCAATAGTCTTATTAGTGTAAGAGAAACACTTGTTTCTTCAGAAAAACAGTTTCAAACAATGGAGAAGCTTTTTGAAAGGTTAGTTATTTACTTATTAGTTATTACTCTTCTATAAATTTAAAAAAAGTACTTGTAATTTACTCTTTGTGTGAAATGACATTTACGCCCTTGTGTGAAATGAAGGTTGATTGCGAAGACGACACAGCTGGAGAGTGAAAAGAAGCAGAAAGAAGGGGAAGTTGAGAAATTAATGGAGGAGAATTTGAGATTGAATGGTGTTTTGGATCAAAAAGAAGCTCAATTGTTGGCTATGAATGAACAATGCAAGTTTATGGCTCTAAGTGGGTCCCATATCTGAGTTTTTACTAAAATTTCTAGATCATTAATATGTAAGGGAATATGCTGTTGTTGCTGCATTTGTATCAAAAACATAATCCATTTTTTTTCAATATAAAGTCAAAAAATATATTTTATGTTCATATGCTGACATTAGATGTGACATCTGAAGTTTTCTAATTCGTTATATGATTAAGCAATGTGAATTGATTAAGTATTGGGTATTTAGGCTCAAGAAAGACTAGCCTATGTTTTGTTGGGTTAAAATAAATCATAAAGCAGAAAATTTTTACTACTTTGATTTGATAAGATAGAGGGTATTTGTAGTGATTATTAAAACTTATGAGGCATTTTGGGATTATATAGTGAAAAATGAAATAAGTACAAATTTGTGGGGTTTTTTTAATTGTTTCGGATCCAAAGAAAATGAAAAAAAAATGTGGTTATTATATATATATATATATATATATATATATATATATATATATATATATATATATATATATATATATATATATATATATATATAGTAGCCGTTTACCCGCGCCAAGCGACGGGCGCAAAACATAATCGAATGGGAAATTGTTTTTCTCTTCGGCTTGAATGGGAACATGCTATCTTCGAACAAACATAGAGGAATCCTTGGATTGGAGTATGTGTGGAAGATTTGCAATAAAAGTTGAAGGCCATTTGAACCGGTGGACTTGACCTGGACCGGTATCATTTTATGTAATGGGCGTGATAGTTAGATTGTCAATTTTTCAGTTTAGTTAGGCGGTTTGGGCATTGAACGGAAATTGTACCATAATTTTGTAGTTCGTTTAGGCTGTTTGGGTATTGGACCGAAAATTGTACCATACATAATGAATGTTGTACCGAAAACAATAAATGTTGTGACAGTCCAACAAAATAAATGTACAATACACTTCATCGACAATGGAATATTGTATTGGTATAAAAGCGAATGAAAAATTAAAATAAAGATTCTTAACCTTTCATCACAAAGTCGCAACTAACAATCCGGATAAAAAATTTAAAAGTGATTATATTATAAAATAAAAACAAAATAAAAATTTTACGTACAAAAAGTTAAAGTTTATTAATTTTAATAAAAGATTTTGAAAATTCAAATAATACATAGAAAAATAATCAAAGTTTTCTTTCCTCAATAGTTCTTTTCGCCGGTAGCCAATTTTTTTAACAATAGTTTCTCGACGCGTAGTTAATAGTTTTTTTTTCAAAGAATAGTTTCTTATCATTAAAAATATCATATTCAAAGGAACACATCACCGATTACCTAATACTCAATCATTTACTGTTAACGATCAATTTGTTTTTGATGGTCGACGAATATTGCACTATTGGTCATATTATGTCCAATTGTTGTAGTTATTTGTCGTAAATTTGAAAGAGTAAACTTGAAATAGAAGCATATATATATATATATATATATATATATATATATATATATATATATATATATATATATATATATATATATATATATATATATATATATATACAAATTACAATTTTGTTTAGAATTCAATATTATTTTTCAGAAATTACTAAATCTACTTGTCAAAAATATAAAGTAAGGTGTTAAATGTGGATACTTGGTGTATAAATTTTAATGAATTACAAAAGTGAAAAAAGTTGCCTTGTGTATAGGACATTGAATAATTACCAACTTTACCTTGGATATATGATAGAAGTGCTTTCACCAGTCGCATTTCTTGCTACAAATTAGGAAAAAAAAAAGTGGAAAATGAATATTTATTGTACATTAGCCTTGGAAATTTGAGATCAAGGAGCAAAAGTCAAATAGAGAAACAAAGACTATTGAGGGTATTTTAGGTATTTAAGTTTTTTTTTTTATCAAACCACATGTCAAGACAAATTAACGAAGGAAGGGTATTTTAGGTTTTTGATTTAGTTAGATTTTCATCAAAATGTTTATCAAGTTGAACACGGAGTACTATTGAAGGGTATTTTAGGTATATAGTTTGCAATAAAATATTTTTTTTATCAAGTCAAACATAGAATGAGCACTATTGAGGGGTATTGTATTTATAGTCAAAGATTACAATAAAATTATGTGTTAAGTAGAACAATAAGATGGAGTAGGATTGAAGGGTATTTTAGGTATCATATCTCTATAGTCGAAGATTTCTATTAAAGTAAGATGCAGTGGGTTGGTAGTATTAAAGGGTATTTTAGGGACCAAAGAACACAAAACAGATTGGAAATCAGTAATGATGAACAATCTTCAAAATCACGGTATATATACCTGGTTATATGCTTCCTCAGACTTGCAATTAACAACCATATTGGTATAATTATTGTCTCATATTTTCTAACTTCCTGGGCTACAATGCCCCTAAGTTCAAAATCCCCATAATTTTAACTTCAACTTCAATTTTTCCATCCTGCAATCATAACCATCATTTAAATAAGTGGAATTTCATAATTGGGTTTTGAATTATGTATATAAGAAAATTACCTGGTGAAAGTGTCAATAGAAACTGCAAATGTTAGTAACATTTAATTAAATATCATGAAATACTAAAAAAAATTAAATAAAATAATTTTAAATAAAAAAAAATCAGAATTCAAATGCCTTTGGGAATGTTCAATTCCATTCATTCTTTCGATTCCATCATACCAAACAAAACAAAATAATTCTTAATGTAAAAAATAACTTGATAATAAATGAAATAAAAAAAAAAGATATTACCAGGACTTCAAAACTAAGTTTATTAAATAAATAAATAAATAAACAAGAAGGGTATAAATAGCAAAGGAGAAAAGTAAGCTACCCTTCTTTTTGGCCAAAGCCTAAACCAGGGACAGTAGAAATGCCAATGGCTTCCAAGAGCTTGAGGCAATAGAAAACATCAAGAACTTTTCCAGCACTTGTTGCAGCTTCAATTGCTTTTGGGGGTAGTTTTATTTGTGGGAATGAATACATGGCGCCTGATTTCAAATTTAAATAAATAAGAAAGAATTAATATCAAGAAATATGAGGTTAGAGAACAATTTTATTGGAAAATGGCTAACCTTCTATGAAATTACAAACAACAGTTTTGCAACTATTGAATTCATCTGTCATCATGTGTGCTCTCTTCCTTAGTGATTCAAGGATACCCTTGCTGCATTTGTTTACCAAGAGAATTGTCTAAAATACCCCTCCATAACAACAATACTTTGCAAACAAGTAATTTTATCTTTAAACTACTCTAATCATCTAATTATTATACCCTTCAGTGATGACAAAATAAGTGAATTTTTTTATAAATCAACAGTTTGTGAATGATGAAAATTTGAAAATGGACAATTAGGTAATTTTACCTATCTGTAAGAAACTGCTCGTACGAAATATCACCTCCGAGTGTAAGTTCTTGAGCTGAAGTACTAACTTCCAACATCCATGTAGCAGGGTTATATCCGTCTTTTACCTTACTTACGCCATCAACAACCTGTTTTATCAAAACATTCAGTAAGGTTAAATCTCAATATCTCATTTCATGTCTATATGACTAATAACTCAAAAGATTTCATTTGTTTTTAGGATCATATTAACATTTGCAAACAAAAATCTAGATTAAAAATGTTACCTATGGTTAAATCTCAATATCAAAATCATTTAGATAAGTTCTCAAGCATGCTGCCTCGTGTGAAATCAAAAAATTGATGAGTATAAATAGTTTGTTGAAATCGACTTACAAAAATCGTGAAATATCATACTCACAGATCAAGTATTGATCGGAGCAACCTGAGCCCTGGTGTCTTCGTCGTCAGCAGCGGATTCCTCCCCCTCTTTGTGTTCGGGATCATTGATAGCCATTATAGTTGAGGATCGAAGATGCTGAGACCTGAGAGTGTCTAGGGTGAAAATCGAAGGCGGGGAAAGGGTTTATATTGGAAATGCTGGAGAGGCGTCAAGGTTACCTCGACTGCTTTAAGCTTGTCGATCGGAGTAACCTGAGCCCCGGTGTCTTCGTCATCAGCAGCAGCGGCTTCCTCCTCCTCTTTGTGTTCGGGATCATTGATAGCCATTAGTTAAGGATCGAAGATGCTGAGTAGCAGTAGTCTCCGTTACAGATCTAAAAAATCAGAGGTTTGATTGATCTGTTCATCACCGCCTCCGTATGAAGTTGGAAAATTGATTTGTTTATCACCTTAGGAAAGGGGCATTTTGGCGGTGTCAATGTGAATAGGTTAGATGGCAGTGTGTTTAGGAGATTAGGTAAGGCCCTTCTACTGTATTAGGGTGTAGTATATGATCCGTGTAGTGTTTAGAATAATAAGTATAATGCTTAATATGTTGTACACGAGGTAATATATGTTGTACCTCTTAATTTTTTAAGAAACGGGCAATATCCTTAATAATATAGTAAAGATATATATATTTTTGAACAGTTAGACATCATAAAAAGAACTAGCATTTTGCTAGAACAAAAATTACATAAGACATAATAGGGTTTTGCAACCATAACAACCAACTTTAAGTTTTTGGAATCTAAACATAAACAAAATTGTAGGAGATGCCAATTATATTGCCAAAAAGAGTATCATTTTTCATCTTCTTGGTTCCAAATGTGGCCTGAGTTCCGATATATCCAAATATACCAAAACATGGTCAACATGATCGATTACATAATATTCTTTTTGGCTTTCGACAACTTCACACACTTATACTATGCCACATTTCATCTTCTGAATTGACATTAGAAAGCAAACGTGAAATTTTGACCAAACCATAGGGACGATTTTAGTAAATTACTCTATAACATTTTATAGTATGAACTCTCATAATGAAAAACATAGTAGTTTTATTACATGTACCCAAGCTTAAAATTTCATATGTACTAATGTAAGTATATGAGCATTAGGAAGCAATGTGAATGTTAGGAAAATACTTTTCAAGACTCATAACATATCTAATATCACTTGCCAAATTCTGATGACCCTTGTTAGGAAGCAATGTGGATAAAACATGAAACCAAAAGCACACAAAGACACAATATTTACATGGTTCGGTCAAGGTGACCTACGTCTATGAGCAAGAAGGGAGTATTATTTATTCAAATAGTTCTTAAACAGAGATTACAAGTACAACCAGCAAAGATTCGACCTACTTATAAAGGATACAAAAGACACGCCAAATGAAATAGTAGGCATCCCTATTTATAGTGAAGGGATCAGACCTACAAAACTAATGAGTCAAGGCTATTGGCCCATAGACTCGTGAATGGTGTCAAGCAATCACAATCTGTCACATGGTAGCTTCTAGAACATTCATCTATGACATACAACCCATAAGCATCAACAACACACATTGTATCTAGATGCAAGTTTGAGGAGTTCATATCCCTATTCCTCCAATGTTGTGCCCTTATGGGCCTATATGTAAGAACAAATAAGTCTGTATGATCATTTGGGGAGTTTATACTCCCTCCACTAGACACACCTGTTCATATTGGTTAGGAAGTTCATACCCCTTCTTCCTTCAAGGTTGTACCCTTGGGGATCCTTTGAGCACTACCTCACGATTGAATGTATGGTCCTCATGGTGCCCAATATGGTGTCTAGATGATTTCAATATGCATGAGGCACCCTTTCCCAATGCAATGAACAATGTCAATTTCCATCGTATGAAATAACTTCTAATCATAAATAATTCATAAGGTGCTATTAAATCAGTATTATATAACATTTTATAGTATGAACTCTCATGATGAAAAACATAGTAGTTTTATTACATGTACCCAAACTTAAAAATTCATTTGTACTCAAGTAGGGATATGAGCATTAGGTTTCAACTTGGTTAGTATATGAATTTCATTTAAATAGGTTATGTTGGTAAAAGTTACTAACAAACGTTGCTGTTTGGGTAAAAGGGCTTGTACTAATACAAAATTTGCCTAGAATAAGTAGTAAATGAAAGTTACTCCATGTTAAAATCATTGGATTGTTGACAACAATCATTGAATTTTTAGGCAAACCGGATCAAACAAGATTAAGGGACGTTATGAGAAAATATGAGGAGTTAATGCAAAAAAATATCTTTAATAACTTACAAAGCGTATCTTTGTTAAGTTTCAAATCAAGTTTTCTACGAATAAGAATAATTAACTATTAAATGAATATGTGTTGTTTAAAAAAAAAAAAAGCTAAAAAGAAAAACTAAAGAAACTAAAAAAACAAATATATTTATCTGTTTAATAATACATTATCCAATAAACCTATTAAAAGGTTTTTGATGATTGTTGATTGAATCGGATCAGACAAGTAAAAAACATATCAGATTTTTTTAATTGTAGTATCAAACAGTATGAATCTGACCGAGTTAACCTAACCTTTTACATGACCTAATAAAAAACATATCAATCCACCCTAAATCATAAACAAAACACCATTCTACATAAAGCTAACAAAACCAATTCAAACTTTATATATTACTATTGGGATCTCAAAATAAACAAGTAAGACCTCTATTTTAAGGGATAGTATAATGTTTGAAAAATAAAAAAGTTCTAAGTTATTTGATGAGCACGATAAAAGACACTTAATTTATGAAAAAAATATTAAATTAATGTTATTTAAGTTATTTAATTTAATCAAATAAAAATAGGGTTAAGTGAACCCAAACCAAATAAAGTTATACTAACACTTTATACTCTACTAATACTTTATACTTAGGATTAGAGTATAATTGCATAGACTTGCTCCTAACATAAATCTTTTAACTTTTTTTAAGGTTGGTGGGTATGGGTCTATATCTTAGCATTATTTTATTGTCATCTTGTATTTTATATCATCCTCCACACCACATCATTTTAGATAAGAAACGATCATCAGACACTACACTGTTTTTATTGGTTGAAAAATGATTAAATTTAAAAAATAAAAATAAAAAAATTGAATCCCTCTCTCCTCCATATGCATTGAGCTATGTTGTCTTCTCTCTCCTCCATATACGTTGAGATATGTTATCTGCCCAACGCCTCTTAACATAACATGGTAAGGGTGGTGTTTCAAAAGCCTTAATGTCATTAAGGGGGTACTAAGTAGGATCCTTAACACCAGTGTAGGACCCATACCGATAAACCTAATAAAAATCATATAACTCTAATTTTTGTCTATAGTTTGACTTTAACCAAAAGTCAAATCTATCCATTTAAACTAACTTGTCCTTTCTAAACTCAATATTTCAAAACGCTTATTTGATGTCCCCAACTAAATAACAATAGTATTTCTTGATCGAAACTCAATTTCAACGTATATCAAACATATGCCAAGTAATTCCACTTTCATAATAGATGTTTGATTATATCAAAAGGTGAAATCCATCATATTCGATTAATTTTTCATTTCGACTCACCTTTCGAAGAGTGTAAGCTTTTTAGCATTTACCAAGCATTCTTTATACTTACAATTAACCATATCCATCTATCTAATGTATAACATATAAGAAGAAACTTAACTTCATCATCTTTAACATATGCATTTCAAGAACTACAAATTTCCATTCACAAATTGAATTAGGGATTTTAAAAAACACCTTCAATTTTCTGTCCAATAAAAGAAATAGAAAGCATTGAGTTGTTCCAAACATGAAATGGATTAGCTTTTTTATACAAATGTAGCAACAACAACATATTCCCCTTCACATTAACAATTGACATTTGATCTAAAAATAAAAGTTTCAGAAAAAAAACTCAAATATGGGAACCACTTAAAGCCATAAACTTGCATTGTTCATTCATAGCCAACAATTGAGCCTCTTTTTGATCCAAAACACCATTCAATCTCAAATTCTCCTCCATTAATTTCTCAACTTCCCCTTCTTTCTGCTTCTTTTCACTCTCCAGCTGTGTCGTCTTCGCAATCAACCTTCATTTCACACAAGGGCGTAAATGTCATTTCACACAAAGAGTAAATTACAAGTACTTTTTTTAAATTTATAGAAGAGTAATAACTAATAAGTAAATAACTAACCTTTCAAAAAGCTTCTCCATTGTTTGAAACTGTTTTTCTGAAGAAACAAGTGTTTCTCTTACACTAATAAGACTATTGACATAAGATTTCAAAGATTCAAAATCCTGTTTGACACGAATAAGTTCTTGTTCATTTTGTGTTGCCCTTTGCTTTTGTCTTGATGTTTCTTCAACCAAATTGTCAACCCACTGTCTCATTTCATTCAGAACACAGTTTGTATCCACTGCAAATCGATCCATTTCATCTAATTTCTCAGACATTATCTCAACCTGGATTTCCTTTTTCATAATCTCTTCTTGACTTATTGCCACCTTCTGTTTCTCAATATCAGTTTCTGATTCTGCCATTATTACCCTTTCAACAAGAGACTCCATCACCTGTGTGATCATTTCCACAGTCTTTGCCACTTCATTCATGTAAACCCCATCTTCTTCTTCTTCTTCTTGAAGGGTATTTATGTCTATCCATGGGGAGTTGAAATTGGAAGAATCTATGTTTGTGATGTCATGGGATTGGGAGGAGGTGAGGGCGAAATGGGGATTTGTCATTGTTGTTTTTGCTTTTGATTTCAAGTAGTTCAATAATGAGGCTGTTGTCTTTACTCTACGCCAAAGTACATCCAATTCCTTTTTGGGGTCTTTATTTTTTGATTCATGAATGCATGAATTAGTGACCTCACCAAGTTGTTCTTGTTCTTGTTCTTGTAATATATCAGTATCTATAGAAGGAGAATTGATATGATTCATGTCTTGATTTGAATTTGATTCTGTTTGACTGCTTGATTCAGAGTTTAAAGATGAAAACTCAACATGCTCTCTACCTGCCAATGCCATCACTTCTCTAAACAAGAACAAAAGAAATACAAGAATCAAAGAGAGGTTACTTGTAAAATAAACCGTAACAGATAATCAATCTAAACATTATAAACTGCTGAATCGTTTACAAGTATGTTGTTTAGCGTACAAGTTCGAATTACTGTGGTTTGAAAAATGGAACGATATTTATATCGTAAAACCACCCAAACTGAAAACGTGATCAAGCAAACCCTAGTACATATTATTGGGGAAATTCAAATGCGCGGGAAAAGGAAATGAGGAATTCAGGAGTCAGGAGTACCTTTCTATTGGATTGAGAAACCTTGGGAGGACTTAATTTTGATTGGAAGGAGGCGGAAGAGACGATCAGAATCGGCCGATGACGATGACCTTCGGAGCTCTCCCCTCTCTTCAATCTCTTTTTTTCTCTGTTCTTTTGCTTTGCTTTGCTTTGCTTTTCTTGCTTTGTCTTTTAAGACTTTTTTTTTTTTTTTTTTTTTTTGAGTAATCGTCCTTGTAGTATTGTCTAATAGGCGTGTTCGTCCCTAACTTTTGACTTTTGTTATTTACGTTCGTATGATTTAGTGGGTGTTTGTTTTTTCTCCGCAGATTTGCGTGGGCACTTTTGTCTGTGCGGCGCAGACCACGCACAGACTTAAATGTTTGCAGTGTATTTGTTTTTCTGAAGTGCGCAGATATAAAAACGTCTGTACGAGGTCTTCAACACACAGACTTGGGCCAACATCTTATAAAGTCTGCGAGTGTTTTAAACCTAAAAAAAAGCATCGTATCCGCCTCCACCGTCAAACCTTCCCACCGACAGAACCTATCCATCTTCAATCCATCGACCATCGCCTCCGATTAGCACCCCCTTCGCCACCCTGCTCTCCGATTGAAGGCATCTAGTGGCCAGGCGCAGTCTCGATTTGTACGATTCAGGCCACCAACGAACGATTCAGGCCACCAGCGAACAGGTTCGTATCTTCCTTGCGTTTTTTTAGTTCCAACATGAAATTAACGTGAAATTGAGGAATAATCTTGCTGTGAAAACTCTCTAATTCACTGAAAATCTTGTTTCTTGCTTCAAATTCTTGTTAAATGTTATTACAATACATGTATATCTCTTCCTTCACAATATGCTATTACAATACTTGTATGATACATGATCAGATTAGGTTTTTGCATACAAAAAGAATGGAACCAAAGTCATGTATCATGTATGTTTTGATTGATATTCTGGAAAATAATATAAATATATAGAGCCTATTTTGCTGAAAATTACGAAAATTAAAGAAAGTCTTACCTTTTTCTTTTCATGTTTATTGCTGTGAATTATGAATTGTTTATTGCTGTGAAATAATGTTGTCAATTGTGAATTGTTTATTGTTGTGAAATAGTGTTGTCAATTGTGAATTGTTTATTGCTGTGAAAATTTGTGTTGAAAATGTGAAATAATGTTGTCAACTAACGATATCTAACAAGTCACGTGATAATCACACTTTAGTTGTTGATTGTTTATTGTTATTTGGTTTTGAAAATACTCTTGATTATTTCAAATCATTATTTATTTTTTTGTTGTAATGTGTATGATATGCAATACCTTATGAAATCATATTTGTCAATTTGTGAATGCTACAATACCTTATGAAATTATTATTGTCTATGATATATTGCTTATTAGAAATGGGAGAAAAACAACAATGGATCAATGAGCATTTAAAATGCTTATTGGATATTTGTATTGAAGAAGTAGAGAGTGTCGGTAGAAAAGGATTGAGTTTGCAGAAAGACTCATGGATAAGGCTTGGAAGAGTTCTTAAGGAGAAATTTGGGTTTGAGTTGAGTCAAAAACAAATGAAAAACGCATATGACAATCTGAAAGCCAAATACACAGGATGGGTGTATTTAAAAAACAAAAGTGGTAATATATACAACTCTCAAATAAAACACTTTTAACTTTTTAACTTAACAGCCGAGGAGTGGGATGATTTTCAGAAGGTATATATATATATATATATATATATATATATATATATATATATATATATATATAAAACATTTATGTTTGAAGTTGCCAAATATTGTTATACTATTTTTTGTTACATTTGGGTTTAGGGGCATCCGAAGACTGCTTCATTGAGAACAATTCCACTGCCTTTTCCAGATCTTTGTGCACGTCTTTTTGATGGAAATAGTGCTACTCGTAATTTTAGGAGTTACTCAACCCAATCATCATCAATAGCTGGAGCACCCTCTTGTCGTCTTCCACCACTTCAGATTACTGCCACCCCTTTTCATGCAATAGATGATGATGGTGATGACACTTCCCACCATGAGCCACCACCTTCTACTGCTTCACCTTCTGCTGCTTCACCATCTGGTAACCCCAACAAAAGGGCTAAACCCTCAACTCCTATACCTCTTAGGGCCTCACCGTCTACTTCTTTACCTGTTGGAACTTCTATTATTGGTGAGGATTTAGCATTAGAAATGAAAAAAGCTCTACAAAGTTTGAATAAAGGGTATACAATCCCTCAATGTTTAGAGAAGTTAGAGGTGATTCAGTTAGGCCCTACTGATCCTTGACGCTTTGTCGCATATCATATTTTTGGAGGGACCATGAACATGAGAGAGATGTGGATGCATTTGCCCGATGTTCCCGAGATATTACGAGGATGGCTTGAGATGACGGGTACAAGTTTAGGAGTTTTGAAGGATGGAAAGATTGTCCGATGATTTTTCTAGTATTGAAACTATTTGTTAGGTCTTTTTGTCTTTGTTGGAACTATTTTGTTAGGTCTTTTTGCTTTTCTTGGAACTATTTTTTTGTTATTTTGCTACTTAGAATATGGTTTATCTAATGTTTTTTTGGTACTTGAAATATAATTAATGTAATGTTTATTTGCTACGTCAAATATAGTTTATGTAATGTTTTTTTGCTACTTGAAATATGGTTTATGTAATGTTTTTTTGTTACTTGAAACATGATTAATGTAATGTTTTTTAAAGTTCTACTTTGTTGATTTTAGGTTCATAATGGATCACGATCAAAAGTTACTTCTCGTAATTTTTATGTACCTGTACATCTGTTTTTTTGGAAGAGGGATGTGAAACGATTGCGAGATAATGATTCGAAAATGACAAGACATGAATACACAATGGAGTTGTTACATCGTAATCGTTTACAATGTGTTGAAGTACTACGCATGTCCCGTGACTCTTTTGTACGACTATGTGCTCATTTTAGAGCAAATTACTCATTAAAGGACAACAAACATGTATCGGTTGAGGAAAAGATAGCCATGTTTTTGATGATGATTGGCCATAATCAATGTTACGTAATTATCAAGCAGAGATTTCAACACTCGAAGCAAACAATTCATAAATTTTTGTATGAAGTGTTGAAAAAAAATGATGCTTTTCGCACAAGATGTTATAGTACCAACTTTTTTTTAATCCGAATCCAAACATTCCATGACATAATAGGAGGCTACGATGGGTTTTCAAAGGGGCGGTTGGTGCACTTGATGGCACTTTGATACAAGCTGTTGTCCCTGATAAGAAACAAGACTTATATAGAAGTAGGGGAAAGGGAGACTGCTACCAAAACGTATTGGCAATTTGTGACTTTAATATGATTTTCACATTTGTTGTGGCCGGGTGGGAAGAGGTAGCGCATGACTCTAGAATATTATCAGAAGCAATAACCGATCCACAATCATCATTCCCATTTCCACCACCCTGTAAGTTTTGCATTTTTGATTAGTGTTTTGCATTTTTTTATAGACAAGTATTATCTTTGTGATGTCGCATATGCACACACTTGAGGATTTATGGCCCCTTATCGTAATGTGAGGTATTGGCTTGGAGATTTTCGTCAAAGAAGTGCATTGACCAATAAGGAAAAATTTAACCATGGACATGCAAAACTTCGGAATGTCATTGAGCGTGCTTTTGGTGTTTTGAAAGCACACTTCCCTATATTGAAAAGGATGGCACCATTCTCGTTTGTGACACAAAGAAACATTATCATAGCATGTTTTGCGCTTCATAATTTTATAAGGAGAGAAGGAATGAGTGATGAGTATTTTGCACGATATGATGAACCCAATGTCTCATTTTGAAATAACAATGTGGGCATTGATGATGATGAAGATGGGATTCCAACACATGGTACTACAGCAGACCGTGAATATATGAATCAGTTACAGGATGAAATTGCTGATTAGTTGATGCACAATATAGATTGAATTATTTTAAATGAAATTGTTATTGTAAAACCAATTTTTTGAATTGTATGACTAATTTAGATGCATGAATTTTATTTTCAATGTTATAAGACTATTATTATTAAAATGTTTGTGTTGGAAAATCATTTTATTTAAAATTTCAGTTTATTTCAGCAGCCTGCAGACGTTAAAAAACAAACAGTCTTCTTATTGCACACTGTAGACGTTTGATCCACCTCTTCTGCTGCAGAGGCTTGCAGATGTGGTCCGCAGACTGCAGACATTTTGGCTTCAGAAAAACGAAAAGCATTAGTTTCATTTGCGGCTTAATGTTCAAGAGACATAAAATAACTTTAAGACAAAATTGCAAGAATGGTCCCTTTGGTATGTCCAAAATTGCTACTTTAGGCCAAACGGGTTTGGACTAGCACCAATAGTCTAAAGGTTTTCATTTTGCTGCTGTTTGGTCCAAATCAGTTTAAAAAATCTAAAAATGATGGATTTGCCCTTTTCCATTTGTTGTTTGTTTTTCTTTTTGTTATTTAATTATTTTCTAACTAAAAATATAAAAAATAAAATCTCTCTCTCTCTCTCTCTCTAAAACCCCAAATAGGTAAAAACTCTAATCTCTTATCTCTTGCCTTTTCTCTCGGTCCACATGTCTGGTGATACGCTGAATAAGGTCATGATGTAAACAAAAGAGAACGATAAACATGGTTCTCTTGAATCTAATTGTAACTTGCAGGTGGTACCAAATTCGGAGAATAGGGGTGTGAAGACGATGAGGGAGGTGGTTGCACGATTAAATTAAGAATAGGCTTGTTGAATCGATTAAAATTTTGAACCTTGGATGATGAAGGTTCAGACCACCGATCTAATATTTAGAGATCAACGAGGAGGAGAGTGATGAACACTGTCATTGCTTCCTGTGATTGATTTATCCCAAATGATGGCGGTGGTGGTGTTAGACTTAGGATTCTGATAGCATCTCCGGTGATGGGGTGGAAGGCGATTTTGATGAACACTGACGTCTTTTCCGACAGTCTTTATTTGGGGTAATTATGTGGTTTGGTGTTGTATTTGGCGATTTGGAAGGTATTATCATCAAGTTTAGTTTCATTTGATCCAGATGGTAATCCTAATTTGTTGGTGTAGTCGATGGCAGTGGTGGTGGACTGAGATATATAAGTTTTCAATAGAGGTAGATCTGAAGACACACTAGAGAAGATGAAGCTGGTGATTAGATGAAGAAGACGATCAAGCTGGAGAAGACGATGAAGTCGGTGGATGTGACCCAACTCAACGAGGAGAACGTCGTTGGAGCCGAAGTTGCCAAATCCCTAATTCTTCAGATCTTGGTAGGTGGCGGCACTGTGATTCGACGAAGAAGATGATTAAGCCGGAGAAGACGAATGAGGGCTTTAGTTTTGATGGTTTCCGGCGAGGAGGTGGTTTCCGGCGTAACTGTAGACCGAGAGAGATATAATCTTGTATGTTAGGTGGTTCCCATGAGAGATACATAGACATATATATATATATATATATATATATATATATATATATATATATATATATATAATTTTATTTTATTTTATTTTATTTTTTATTTTTTTAGTTAGAAAATAATTAACTAACAAAAAGAAAAACAAAAAAACAAATGGAAAAGGGAAAATCCGTCATTTTTAGATTTTTTAAACTGATTTGGACCAAAACAATAGCAAAATGAAAACCTTTGGACTATTAGTGCTAGTCCAAACGTGTTTGGCCAAAAGTAAAAATTTTCGACATACCACAGGGACCATTCTTGCAATTTTGTTTAACTATAACTAGGGAAGAATCCCCTCTTTGCGGGGTTAGATTGATACACCAAAGAAAATCCCAAATTGGGCTTATTCTGATCAGTGTCGTTAGTTCTTCAACTTGATGGATCGTGTTTAATTGCTATAAACTCAAGGTGTAAAATAGTCATTTATTTGCATTCAAATGAATCGAGTTATTGAGTTTGTCAAGAAAATTTGCAGTTTAACTATTGTAGTCAAACACTTTAACTTAAAAAGTCAAAATGCAATTTCTTTCTTCAAACTTTAGAAAAGAGAAAAAGGTAGGAGCAACATGTGAGATATGCTTATCAATGGGCTAACAGAAGAGATCCATACATAAGGCTTTGTGTTAATCCATATTATACCCCTAACATCGTTCATAAAGACTTGATAATCATAGGATAGGGTTGTACAAAAACATGAAGTTGTATAATACCCATCGATCTAACTAAATTAAATTAAAAATGAATATTAAAATATAAACTATGGAATATATATGCTTTTCTTGCTCTTGATGGCAGAGAGGAACAACTAAAGAAAAAAAATCTTGTAAGATTTGAATAAGAAGAAATTTGAATTTAAGATATGTAATATACATCCATCAATTTAAGAAAATCTACACAAATTAGAGAAATAAGTTTCATCAACTTAACCAATTCTGCACAAATTAAAGAAATAAGCATACAGTCAAAGTAACATCTGCAAATACAAAATTACAAAATATAAAAATTCATCTTATGCAATTTTAAATATTCATACAAGGTTTTAGAAAAATACTAAACTCTAAGCGTGCGTTTAGTTGCGGAAAAATGGGCCGTTTTCCGGAAAATTATTCCAAGAAAAATGAGAATTTTGAAAACGCGTTTAGTTCGTCTATTTTTCTAAATTTTTCACGGAAAATGAAAATTTTTCGTTTTATAAAATTACAAAGAAGTTGGAAAATTTTGGAAAACTGATAATCATTGTTTTCCATATTTTTCTAATTCCAAAATTTTTCTATAAACACACACCCACTTCACCCCATCCACTTCTACCTACCCCCACCTTAACACCCCCCACCCACACACACATACATACCCACCCACACATACACACCCGCACACACACACACACACCAACCCACAAACACACATATATACATACCTACTCACACACACACCAACCCACATACATACCCACCCACCCACACACACACCCACCCGCACACACACACACACACACACCAACCCACACACACACACACATACATACCCATCCACACACACACCCACAAACACACACACATACATACCCACCCACACACACACACACACCAACATACACATGCACACACCAACCCACACACACACACCCCCACCCACAAACACACACACTTACACATACATAACCACACACCCACCCACAAACACACACACACACACACACATATATATATATATATATATATATATATATATACATACCCACCCACACACACACACAACCACCCACAAACACACACACACACATACAAACACATACACATACATACCCACCCACCCACACACCCACCTACACACACACATACACATACATACACACCCACCCACAAACACACACACACACACACACTCACACACCAACCCACAAACACACACACATACATACCCACCCATACACACACACCCGCACACCAACCCACACACACACACACACACCTACCCCCACCCCCACCCTCACAGACACACACACCCACACCCACACACACAAACCTACACCTACCCCCACAAACATACATACACACACAAACACACACTCACACCCCGACCCACCCAACACCACTACAACAATCACCGACCTACCATCACCACCACCACCACTAACCCGTCACTAGCACCACCACCATCACCACCACTGACAAAATTGACGCCGCCACCACCATCGCCTATCATCACCACCACCACCGCCGACCCGCTACCGTCACCGCCCCCACCCACACCCTACTACCACTACCGTTTTTTAAAAATGAAAACCGATAGAAAAATAGACATCTAAACACGTTTTCTAATTTTCTAAAACTGAAAATGAAAAATGAATAAGTTTAACTAAACGCGATCTCTAAATTTTTCAATGAAAAATGAAAACGGAAAATGAAAATTGAAAACGGAAAACAAAAAACGGAAAATGAAAATTGTTTTTCCGTAACTAAATGCAACCTAACCTATGCAAAATCCTTCCTGGAGTTATCACCAACAACTGCTATATAAAGCCAATTTAAACAAACTTCCATGCTTTAAAGAGTATGTGCTCCATCTAAATAAAACACCACGCCACCTTCACATTGCTAGAGCATCCCTACGCTCATATGGAATACAAAAGGCATCAGTGATTGAATAATAAATATGTAATAATGACTTTTTATTAAATTAAAGTAAGTATGTTTGTATCTGAATGTTGGTCAAGATCTTATTGCTGACTTGTCCTTCAACAACCTCTCATATGTATCTTTTCAACTGTAAAAACAATATCAAACATGTGGATTATAATATCTGGCAGCATATATCAACATTCTCTGCTGATAACAAATACCAAAATGCCTCTACTATCTATGTAACAAAACCGAATCAACAAAGTACAACAACAATGAAAATATGGATCTACTTAATGAGACAAGCACTTCATGTTCATAATCATATGTTATACCTCAACCATAAGTAATTATATTCTAGTAAAAACTAAGTTGCAAATTTCAAAAATACTCTTAATACTATCTATGAAAGTAAACTTTAATGTTCATTTAAAGAAAGATTTACCTATTGGTGATTCTGGTTGCTGGTGATTCCATGTTTTCTGTTTGGACGATGTTACCCTTCTCTTGTTTTCTGCCTTAGTGCTGCTGAAAACCCAAAGGTCAATTCAGACATAAAAACCTGTTTGTTGATCATTTCTTACCAAAAAGTTGTAAGGATTAAAACTAATGTGTACGATGATGCGAGAAGTGATTGAGAAGAAGATGACAGATAAAATATTTAGTTCATTGGTATATAAGCAATTCAGCATGCTTCATGTCTCTATTTGTTAAATTTGGTTCATTGGTATATAAGCAATTAAGGATATTCCAGATGTTATAAGCATACAGTTATTGATGGTGCATATTTGAATCTAACACATAATTTTTTAGCTCACCGACAAAAATCCTTAAGTGCTTTACCTTTTTTCAGTCCACACATGTTATACTGTTTGTAGGTTTATCTTTTTGTGCAATTAATATCGGCTAGTAGATTATGCGTTGTAGTTTATATGTATACATGTTTCTGTATAGTTCTATCTTTTGCTTAACTTGATCAGATCCTTATGTAATTATATATATCTGCAGTGTTGATCAATATCAAAAATTTCACTCTTACAAAACTTTTATATGATCAGACGAAGTAAAGATAAATCAACTTAGAGTGTCGAAGATTGACAAGGCAAGACCTACCGAGCTAAATATAACAACCTTTTGTCCCCCCAATTGTTTGTCAAAATGCTTGAATGACAAAAATGAAGTTTCAAAACAATTGAATGGTTCAATCATGCAAAGTTTGTAATACATGCTCATGCTTTAGCTATTTGAAGGTCAAAATAATTTATTGCTATCTATGTGAGCTTGTGAACATGTTTTTCAATGTTAAAATCAATGTATTTTCACTTTTTAATTTGTAAATTATGATGTTTCATTTGTTAACTTTATCAATCATTTGATATATTTATGTATGCTACATGTACAGATGATGTAGTAAAATGAGAAAATATGTGGATCGCCTCTAAGCTCTGGTTTGGTCTTGGTAAACAAAAAAAGGGTAAAATAGTCATTTCTAGCATTCAACATAGCCACTCAGAGCTGTAATCAAACGACATGATTTTAGTCAGATGCAAGTTCAATGAGAGCTTCATAGAGAGTCAGGATTGACTCGGTCAATCATGACTCATCGAGTCAGGACTGACCTAACCGAGTTAGGGTATCCTGTATAAAATTCAACATTTTAAAATGCATACTGTTGTGTATGTAGAAAAATTGTTATGTCTGAATCAATTTCCAAAATACATATGATTTGATCAACGGAAAACAATCTTGATGATTCAATTGGATGCGGATGACTCGGGACAAACTTACTAATGTGCACATTAATCCTGACATGGAAAACAATCACTTCAATTAGCTTCATAATTTTTGGGCACTAAAGTTTCACCATGTGGTACAACAGCTTCAATCATGAAAGACTTCATTTTCTTCATATTAAATTCAAATGGGATTCATGCGTATACTTACAATGGATTGCAATCTAGAAAATTCCTTCAAATATTCAAGTATTTACACTGTCATCGACTGTCTTGATCGTCACAGGTTCGTTTTCCCTAGGAAGCACCTCATATGCTTCACCTGGCTGATAAATTAACAGGTTCCAAATACTTGAAAAGGGTGAACTACCATGAACAGAAAAGGTGAGAATATTGGCTAACTTTAACTTGGCTGAGAACGGGGAAACTCTCGATAGTTTTGTAGTAATCGGCAATGAAAGCAATCATCTTGTGCCCATGTTCTCTTAGATTGAAGAAGACAGAATGCCATGGAGAGGTGGTGACCACTCAATCGGATCAATAGCAAAGTAGAAGCTGAAGAGAGACGGCGAAGTAGATAAAATGT